ACTTTTATATTTTGTGCGATGTGTCTTACACAAAAACCGTGTCCAGCTTCCTTGTACACTTCTCTAACAGCCTTAATTATGCTTCTATGCCGATCGGATAACACAACGACATCAGGTCCATCTGGTATTGCATCTTTCAATCTTTCCATAAACCATGTCCATGATGCATCCTTTTCTCTATCGATTATACCTCAAGCCAAAGGATATTGGTGATGATCACCATCTTGTGCAGTTGCAACAACCAATGCACCCTTGTACGGCCCTGTTAGAAACGTTGCGTCAATGGCAACGACTTTACGCAAATATTTCCATCCTTTTATAGCTGCACTCAAAGCGGTAAAGACATATTTAAATCTGCCATTATCGTCCAAGCTAAGACTCGCATGTGTCCCGGGATTTCTTTTGATCAACATGTGCAACCACTTTGGAAGTCTACTGTAATGGTCACAAGGGTTACCACGAATCTCACTTTCTGCACTATGATTGCCTCTTAATGCCATCAAATATGACACAGTAAGTCCATACTTGCTTTTGACGTGTTCTACTAATTCACTTGCTGTAGGCGTCTCGAGTTTACCCGGATATTCTTCCTTCAAATAGTCTTTAACCAGTTTTGATGTACCCTTCATGGTATCGCTTGTTTCACATACAGGTTTGCAACTATGAATTGGATCGTGTGTTCTCACACTAAAACGTTTGGACTTTTGGATCATTGCCACGCGCAATTTCCACTTACAACCCGATCTTGCAAACCTGCATCTTACTTCCCATAACTTCTTATCAGACTTCACAGTTGTATAATTAAAGCGACCCAGTGTTGCACCCTTTCGTACATATTCCTGGGCCGATTCCTTACTGTCGAACTCATGGTCAGGACTTATATTCAATCCATCACTGAATGTGAATATAGAATTAGAAAATAATGAGTCATCAACCACTACCAAAGCCAAATTATTATCATCCTCACCACCGCCATCACCATCACCATCACCACAACCATCACCATCACCACAACCACCGCCATCACCATCACCATCACCACAACCACTCGTCCCATATTCTCTTAAACCATTTGACTGTTCACTATCCGAAATATCTATAACTTCTACCACATTACTCCCAACTCTACTCTTAAAACCAGGGCTCTGTAACACACAATCATCAAAATCCACCTCACATCGATTCTCATCGCCTCTAACAACGCTTCCATAAGCAGGTATTATAGCTTCATCCTCGACATCTTTTTCACATTCTGTTTTGACACATACATGTACTTTCTCCACATAAAGCATGCCTCTCATTCCACTTATTCTGTCCAGGAGATAAATGTGAACATGCTTGTCATTCAAAAGGTATGTGGGCTTTCTGTTTTCTTTTACATTCGGTAAATAGCTTAGTTTGATCTTCGTTTTATCTTTGTCTATTGCCATCTCAGAATATAACTAACTCTTCAACAAGTTGCTCATATGTTACCTCAATTGGAGGACAGAAGAACAACAATCTTTGGTTGTCCATAACTCTCCCGTTCTATTCGTATTCTCCGTTCTTATTCACAATCCATTCTCCTTCACAGAGAAAATAAATAATTGTAGTTCTCTCCATTACATCCATTATACCTGTAAAAAAAATTTACAAACCGAATGACACGTTACCAGAATGAATATGAAAATTGAAACGAACATTATTTTGAAGTTGTTATTGATATTAAAATCCATGATTAATCACTGCATAACCATGACAAGTCACTAATTCGATAAATTCGACCCATGTGACCCATGTGACCCAAGTGACCCATGTGACCCGTGACCCATATGACCCATGTGACCCGTGACCCATATGACACATGTGACCAATGTGACCCATGATCTATGTGACCTATGTGACCCATGTGTCTGTCCAATGTGATATATGTGACTCATATGATTGTATAACCCATGTAACTCATATGCCTCATATGTCCAAATGTCTCATGTGACTCGATTTACCTCCACAAAACACATTAAACAACTCAAAAACAAGAAAAAACCAACAAAATAACAGTATTTAAGTCGAAACTTACCTATTTCCACGAGATTTGAAGCAATTTCGCAAATTATCGAAGAGATAGCAAGCAAATCGGATAAATGAAGCAAATGTGAGGACACAGAGACCAAATCTGAAGGGAGAGCAACCAAATCG